GATGTGGCACTGGAGGATCTGGTTTAGGGTTTAGGGATTCCAGCAGTGACAGGTTCATGGTTGGACTTGATGCTCCTAGAGGTCTCCTCCAACCTGGATGGTTCTCTGATGATCTGTGGCACTTTGAGCCTTGCAGCAGCAGCAGTTTCTCTCCCTGTGTGCCAACACTGTGTGAGCACATGGAGGATACAAACAGCAGCTGCTGCCGCTGGAGAAAGCAAAGTGTTAGGCATGGGCAATTACCAGTGCTCTAATCATCCTCCAGTCTCATTAGTAGCCATGATCTCCTTCTTTTACCTGATTTCTCAGGGAATATATTTTATGCTCAAGTCCTCCTTGACACTAAGGGTAATTTGCAAAGCTGGGATTTTTCTTCCAGTGGTGGTTTGTATTGCCATAAAACAGCCACATGTTGCCTGTCCTTGTGCTGCCTAAGGCTCTGACTGAGCAGCAACAGGACAGCAGTCACAGTCAGGGGACACAGTGTGACAAAAATAGCAAGATTGCTTGGATTGCTTTTGTTAATGAGATTCCTGAGCTGCTTTTAGTTCCTAATTCAGCCTGTAGTCACTGCTCTGGATTAAAACCGAGCTCCCTGGGATGAAGTTTTGAGCTGTATTTTGCAAAAGGTGATTCTTCTGCTGCTTTTGCTTTCACGTGCAGCAGCAGCTCAGCTCTGCTGGGAGCCCAGGGAAATGGCACAGGATCCACGTGCTATCCCAGACAGGATTCATTGTGGGTTCTGTCTGAATCTGGAATTTCTTCAGGGGAATCTAAAGGGAATCCCCCAGAAGGTGAGTCAGGGTGTCAGACTCTGCAGGAGAGGATCCAGCAGGAGGCTGGAGCAGGAGCTGTGCAGGAAGATTTTGTTCAAGGAGCATGTTTTCCTGGGTCAAATCAAAGTGCTGAGACCTTGGCTATCATGCCAGTATCACTAGGAATTGCATCCCTGATGGAAGTCCATCCACGGGCCAAGCCTTGCCCAGCCAGTGCTTGGAGGAGGCTGCCAGTGTCCCTTCTCCCCCTCTGCTGGTGTCCCTGTCCCTCCTGCTGCTGCGGTCCTTTCTCCTCCTGCTGCTGGAGCTGCAGAAGGGAGAGATACCCCAGTGCTGCAAATCAAAAACTCCTCAGATGACTCAAATCTGCTCCTGTTTTTGTGGCAGAAAAAGTACCTTCAACTGTAGAACTTTCCTGCCTGCAGAGTTTCCCCCTTGGGTGAGTGCAGGGAAACAGTCATGGCCATGCAGAGCACAGAGGCATTTGCATCCTCATCAAACCAATACACCCGTGTGCTAATGAGCATGCCAGAAAGATCCAGACCTCTGGAATGCCATCCCTGTGCCTCTCACTCCTCTCCAGAGGAGCTTCTTTTTCCTCCAAGTGCCACATTTAGTTCCCACAGCTCCAGTAAGAACATGCACTTAAATAGGTTCTTACTGCAACAGCCTCAGAAGGACAAACTCTAATGAGAACATAAAAACTAGGAGTTAGATCACAACGTAGTCAGTAATTACTGATTATTTTTGCCATTTCATGTTCTGAGAGCAAACGTTGCAGCAGAACTGTCTCTCCGCAATATGCAAATCAGCAGTGATAAGATCTGATGGAGCTCTTCAGCCTCTTCAGCCTTTGCAGCATCACATCATGCAGCAAAGGCCTTTGCTTTTCTTTCCAGCTTTGGAGACCTAATTTTATGACACTTAGTGGTATCTCTGGGTGTCTCCTGTTGTGCACAGCTGGGAAGGGAAGGATATGGTGTGAGATTAAGCTTCAACCTGAGCAGAAGAGGGAGGAAGGGCAGAAAGGCAGTGATTTTGCAGTGCCCTGTGCATATGTCTGGGTGTGTTTTGGCCAAAGAGATGGTTTAACCTTGTTATGCTTCGATATAATGAAGTCATAGAATCATAGAATCAACCTGGTTGGAAAAGACCTCCAAGATCAAGTCCAACCCTACTGTGGTCACTAGACCATGGCACTAAGTGCCACATCCAGTCTCAGCTTGAAAACCTCCAGGGGTGGTGAATCCACCACCTCCCTGGGCAGCACATTCCAATGCCTGAGCACTCTCTCTGTAAAAAATCTCTTCCTGATATCCAACCTAACCCTCCCCTGGCAGAGCTTGAGTCTGTGCCCTCTTGTCCTGCTGCTGGTTGCCTGGGAGAAGAGACCAACCCCCATCTGACTCCAACCTCCTGTCAGGGAGTTGGAGAGGTTCAGCACAGCTCCATGGTGTCCATCAAAGACTCTTCTACCTGGAAATCACAGAATCCAGGTTGGAAAAGACCTTGAAGATCATCAGCAATGATGATATCAACAATGGGGACTACTTCTGGGAGTATTTCCCCCCTTAAGATCAGTGATTCAGCAATACAAGAGGTTTTCAGTCTGGGATCACCCTAGAGGTAACAACATGGGCTCAGGAGAGCTCACACTTCAGAGAGCTTCTACCTCTGCCACTCAGACAGCACTTGGGGGTTAGAAAAGTAGCTCAGAGGGCAAAGAAATGAACTCCTGATTAATTCTGACACCTTGTGGACAATTAGCAGATGAAGGTGAAGGACAAAAGGGAACCTCTCTATGCTATGAGCTCCACCATGACCTTGGGCATGATCCAGCCCTGTTTGGTGCCATCAGGGAGCCAAGGTGAGCTCTGCTGTGGAGCCTGTGCCCTCAGCATCACCCTGGGGGCACAGCAGACACATCCTGGCCACATCTGTTCATCCTAAACCCTTGAGCAGAGCCCAGTCAGCAGCCAAACCCTGATCACCCCAATTGCTGACACTGCTCTTTGGTCCTTGGTGTCACATGAGATGTAAATAAGGACTAACTGTATTTAGGGACCTTGCTAAGCAAAGTGGCTGCTGTGACTCATTGAACTGAAGAACATGAGCCCACTGAGCAGGATTTAAAAAGGAGCATCCTTAAAATATAGCACTATGCAAATGGAGCTAATCCTCCATGGTTTCAATGAGCAGTTGAGTTTGGAGGAGCACCAGGCAGTCCAACCTGGACACCCAAGGGAAACCAGGCAGGTAGTGGCTTTGAAAATGGATTTTAATGGATCACAATGGATCACAATGGGTAAGTGAGAGCTCACCTGAAGGGCCAGGGGTGCAGTGAGCAGGGACAAGGGCAGCAATGGCATGTTCAGCTGGAGCTGCAACAGCCAGATGGGAAGGGATGAAACAGCCCAAGCACCAGAAATTCACAGCACTCCCAGGAAATGGGATGGAACTCAAATCAGGGTTCAGGGGTCACAGCAGTGACAGGTTCATGGTTGGACCTGATGCTCTTAGAGGTCTCCTCCAGCCTTGATGGTTCTATGATTCTATGATTCTATGACCTTACCACATCTCAGCATTTTGGAGCCTGAATCCCAACTCTTCCACAGTTGCCTGGAGCAGTGTCTGTATGACCTGCCAAGTCCAACTACCACAAGTAACAAGCTGGAAAAACTCATCTATTTGTGTTCTGTGTCACTTAGAGCTCTAAATTCAACTTTTTCAGCAACATAAAGGAAAAACCCCTTAGTTACAGAGTAGGACTTACTAATATCTACCTACAGAGACACTTCTTGCCAGTAGTGCAGGAAATGAGTCAGAGGGAAGGAATCAGTGTCTGCAGTGCCACATGAAATAGGAAGCTGCTGCTCAGTTTTAACCATTGTATTTGACACAGGAGGGAATCACTGTCATGAGAATTATCACCCTAGGAGGAAACCCCCAAGAAAACAAACTCCTCCTGCCTCTGTTGCTTGCTTGAAGACAAGACAAGACATGGGGCTGATATGTCCTCAGGGCAGGACCAGCACTGAGCCTTAGTGACCCTCCTGCAGTTGTCCTCAGCCACTGATCAGGTCAGTCCAGGTCTCTTTGTAGAACTTTCCTACCCAGTTATAAAAGTTAACAGGTAAAAGGTGGCCCTAAAGTTCAGCACATGGCATTGCACCATCCCTAATCAAAGGAGAGACAGAACTTGGCAGTATCTAAAAACATAAGTACCTGATGGAAAAAAAGAGTCAACCTGAGGCTGTTGAGGGTGGTGGGAAATGGGAGTAGGTGATCTGATTAGGTCTCTGAGTGTTATATTAGCCTCAACCATTAGCAGCACAATTCAGGAGCACCAACTGTGTTTACAACAGTCACATTTTCCAAGTGCATAAAAAAACTTTTCCAGCTGTGCCCATAATGCCAGAGGAAGTGGGTCCATGAGATCCACTGATAGAGTCAGGAGACACCTGCATAATGCCCAACATATCCCTGGGAGTGTTCCAGGCCAGGTTGAATGGGGCTTGGAGCACCCTGGGCTAGTGGAAGATGTCCCTGTCCATGGCAGGAGGTTAGAACTGGATGATCTTTAAGGTCACATCATCCTGTGATTCTGTGATATGCCAGAGGAAGTGGGTCCATGAGATCCACTGATAGAGTCAGGAGACACCTGCATAATGCCCAACATATCCCTGGGAGTGTTCCAGGCCAGGTTGAATGGGGCTTGGAGCACCCTGGGCTAGTGGAAGATGTCCCTGTCCATGGCAGGAGGTTAGAACTGGATGATCTTTAAGGTCACATCATCCTGTGATTCTGTGATTCAGTGGTTGGCACTCACGTTCTGTCACTGGGCCATGATCATGCATGGACTGTTCATCCATGTATTCCTCCCCTGTTACCCTGAGACCAAACCACAGTGACCTTGAGGAGATGTCCAAAAGGACAGGCAGCTTCTCCTGCCCCTCTGTGAGCACTATGGCACAGCTACACCTGTGCTGATGGGACTGACACACCAGGAATTGTCCTCCACCTCAGTAGGAATGGTAGGACCTCTGAAAGGGCAGGTTTGAAGATGATGGCAGCATGTTCCATCCAGAAGATATTTCCAAACCTCTACTTTGTGCTGAGCATCAAATAGTTAATGCAAACATGAGTATCAACAGCTCTTGCAGTTCCATTGCCTTTACAAGCCTGTTTTTGCTCTCAGCAGGAGTGACCCACCTGCCCTCCAACATGACAAACACTTCCACCAGCCCAACCACGACACCGAGCAACCAGGACTGCTCCAACCACAACATCACATTCAAAAACACCCTGTATGCCACCACCTACACCCTCATCTTCATCCCTGGCCTCCTGGCCAACAGTGCTGCCCTGTGGGTCCTGTGTCGCTTCATCAGCAAGAGGAACAAAGCTGTGATCTTCATGATCAACTTGGCCGTGGCTGACCTGGCTCACGTCCTCTCGCTGCCACTGCGAATATACTACTACATTAGCTCCACGTGGCCTTTTGGAAGTGGCCCTTGCTTAGTCTGCTTCTACCTCAAGTACCTCAACATGTATGCCAGCATCTGCTTCCTCACCTGCATCAGCATCCAGCGCTACTTCTTCCTGTACCAGCCCTTCAAGGCCAAGGACTGGAAGAGACGCTACGACGTGGCCATCAGCATGGCCATCTGGCTCGTGGTGGGGGTGGCCTGCTTGCCCTTCCCCATCATGAGGAGCAAGGGCATGGCTGAGCACAACAGCAGCTGCTTTGCAGACCTCCAGGTGAGGGAGATCACCAGCAAGGTGGCCACGGTGCTGATGATGGGCACGGCGGAGCTGCTGGGGTTTGTTGGGCCTCTCACCATCATCTTGTTCTGTACTTGGAAGACAAAAGTCTCTCTTCAAGGTTTCCACATAACACAGGAAAGCAGTGGTGAGAGGAGGAAAGCTCTCAAGATGGTTACCATGTGTGCCATTGTGTTCTGTGTGTGTTTTGCACCCTATCACATCAACTTCTTCTTCTACATGCTGGTGAAAGAGAAGGTCATCAGTAATTGCATCCTCAGCACCATCACGCTCTATGCCCAACCCTTTTGCTTAAGTCTTGCAAGTCTGGACTGCTGCTTGGATCCCATCCTCTATTTCTTCATGACTTCAGAGTTCCAGGACCAGATATCCAGGCACAGCAGCATAGTCATCAGGAGTCGCCTCATGAGCAAAGAAAGTGCCTCATCATTTAAGGACTAACAGTAAAGCCACCTTAGAAACCCCAAGAGATTTCCTAGGAAATCTGGGACTGTTCTGGGCTACTCCATGACTAACTCCCTTGTGGAAGATCCTGCAAGTTCATCCAAGGGAGTTTTGTGGCAGTGGAAGTCTCTCAGTATCTAGAAGACATAACTCCACTTAAGACTGATGTGTTGGAAGCTGATGAGTGACCTAAGTGGTGTGACCCTCCCCACAGCTCTGCCACCCACACCTATCTAGCTGGAGTAGGAGGGAGTGACAAACCTTTACTAGGAAATGGTGGAAAAGTCCAAGGGGCTTTTCTTCTATGTTCCCAGCTCCATGGCTCTATGGTCAAGCCAAAAACAATCCTAAATCCATACACTGACATGTGCTGAAATGTCTTCTCTGTGACCACCACACAAGAACCTCAAAATGGCCAGTAGTGACAGGCAGTTCTGGTGTGTGCACTCGTGGCTGTGGCCAGGTGAAGGTGTGCAGCTGCCTTAGTATGCTCCTGGCTCTGAGTGCCTCCCACTGGACATCTCACCCTGCCCTTCCTGCACTCACTCTCCTGCTCTCCTCCTCCATCTCCTCCTCCTCAACTGCTGACATATCCCACAACTTGCACCTGCAGCTGCTGCAAAACCCTCTGCAAGACAAATTCTCCTCAAATGCTCCACAGAGTGGGATCTTTGTTCCCCTCTTAGCCACTCCTGGTGGCAATGGGGACATTGATATGTGTCCTTCACCTTCTGAACAGGACCACTGTGGTCCTGCCCTTGGTGCAGGTGGATTGATAATGCTGGTGGTACCACTCAGGTCCTCACTCTTTTCTCTGTGTGGCTTCTTGGCCCCAGAGGTAAATCTGCTCCATAAAACCTCAATGGGTTCAATCACTGCAGCTATTAAAACAGGAGAGATTTCACCACCAGAGCACAGGCAAAGTTCTTACCTAAATTATTCATCATAACTTTTACCCCCAGCTCCTCTCAGGCTCTTCATTTACATTTCCAATGTAGCTATGCAAAGCAGTGACACGACAGGATGTCATTTACCCCTTGTTTTAAATCACTGACAGCTCTTTGGCCCAACTTCACTCACTCTGTGGAACCTCAAGGGTCTCCTCACTGTCCCTGGGGATTGTTTTGGCTGAACATTGATTTATTGCCTTCAAAAACCTGTATCTTTTCAAAAGAATGTGCACAGTTTGTACAAGGTATAAAATCTTGCAAGAATAAGCATCTTATACCTTGCTACAGCACCAGAAGAAACACCAGAAACACTTGCTAAGCATATCTTAAATCCAACCACTCAACTCCACTGTGTCACATCTTAACTCAGCCAAATATTTTCTGTCTGGTACATTTTCCCACTTCTCTGGTTTAGGAAAATATGAGGAAAAGCAAACAATAACCAGGTTTAACCAACCATTTCACTGCAATTCCTCTACAAAGCAACAACACACTGAGTCAACACAATAAGCTCTTGGAGGGTGAGAAGGTGAGAAGGTGACCATGGGCTGCAGGAGGATGAACTGGATCTTACACTGCACTTGGTGGAGATGTTTCCTCTGCTGTCACTGGCACTTAGTGATGCCAGTGACACACATAACTACACACTGCCCCTTTCCAAAGGGGCTGATGCTCAGGGACGGAGTTAACTGTGCATAATCCAACTGTCTCTTCAGCAGTTTCTCATAAGCTACACAGTGTGTAATGTTGTCAGTGAAGGAAACTTCAGTTTCAGTGGTTGTTTTGGTGATTTTTATAGCCCTTTCTTAGCTATCACATGACTGGGAGCTGTTTCCTCTGATTTCTTGCTCATACACTTCTCCCTTGATGAGGTGAAAACAAGTCAAAGGCTCTTTTATGGGAACTCTGCAGCTTGGCCTGTGTTTTTCTTACCGAGAACTGATGCTTCAAAAATAAAGGCAGTTTGGCAAGCATCAGCTGAGGTTCAGAGTTGTCACTTGTACCTGGAAAACTGCATGGGATCAGCTCCTCCTTGGATCAAATTGTTCAAGAGATGGAGCACATCAACTGGTATTATCCTTAAGCAGATTTCTTGCTTGTCCAGAGATGTTTCCACTCTACTGTGGAACCACAGAATCATCAAGGTTGGAGGACACCTCTGAAACACCTCCAGGGATGGTGACTCCACCACCTCCCTGGGCAATATCCCAGGGCCTCAACACCACAACAGGGAAAACATTTCTCCTCACATCCAATCTGACTCTGCCCTGGCTCAGCTCAAGGCCACTCCCTCTAGTCCCATGAGGGATGACATTTTCCATCACCATGATGGCACCCCAAGCACCTCATCTGCCCCAATCTTCCTGCCTCACTCACCCTCTGAACTCCCTCAGGCTTCCCAAAATGGTCCTTTTCCACACTTCAGCCTCAGCCTGTGAGGAAAAGTCACACACTCAACACTTTCAGCCCTTCATGTCAAATCACTGGGAAGTGCAGGAGAGCAATGGGTACAAACTGAAAGACAGAAATTTAGATGAGATCTTAGGCAGAAGTTTTCCCTGTTCTGGTGGTGAGACACTGGCCCACGCTGCCCAGGGAGGCTGTGGCTGCCCCAACCCTGGCAGTGTTCACAGCCAGGTTGGCTGAGCCTTGAGCAACCTGCTCTGGTGGGAGGTGTCCCTGCCCAGGGCAGGGGTTGGGGCTGGGTGATGTCTGAGCTCCATCCCAACCCCTTAACAATGCATGAAGCAGACCAACCCAGGTTCTGTGGAGAGGACAGTGTTTGAGGTGCCTCCATGGGTGGCTGGTGCTGGACCTGACCCAGGACCTGGGCTGCAGGTGCTGGTTTGCTGCCAGTGCTCTCACACATTGAAAGGCACAACGTGCCCTGCTCTGGTTCCTGTAATTCACCTCATTTCCTGCAACCAGAAAACATGTTTGTTATTTTGACAAGAGGAAATAGAATTTCATGCTGTTGCTCCTGGATTATCTCTTGTGCTGGTCCTGCTGCCCAGACTCATCAGCTGTAAAAAGACATCTTCATCCTTCTTGGGCAGGCACAATGGAAGTGTTTCAGCAGAGATGCCCCAGAAAGGCAGAAGATGACAGAACCTTGAGGCTGAGAACAGCCACACAGGGATGTGAAGGATGGAGCTGAGGGGCTCCTGGTGCTGGAGCATCCTGTGTCCAGACTCAGCCTGAAGGCAACTGCTCAGGGTGGAAATATGGTGAGGTCTCCAAGCCACCTGTACTAACCCAGTGTACCTCCCCATGGCACATCCCTTGGCCAAACCATGGCATGATCTGTTCTCTTTCTCTAGCACATGAGACATTCAGCTGCTAGTAAAAGACAATGTGGTTCTTTGCAGTTCCACCCTGTCTTAAGCAGTATCAGATGTCTGGCAATTCCACTGCTGCTTGAGAAAGGGCCCTCAAATGTTTTAGGAAAGTACCCCCATGAGATTTAATGCCTTTGTGAAGCCTCAGGTTCTGAGCTGCAGGATCTCATGAGCACTTCAGCTTCATCTCCTTGCTTTAAATGAAATTAGCAGCTCTGTGTGCAGAGAAAAACAAACTATGCTGTAAATGCAGGACAACAGCTCAATAACCAGGAGCCAGAAGAAAAACATCAACCCCCTCAGAATCAGAGTCATCAAAGTCAGACAAGACCGCTAAGGTCATCAAGTCCAACCATGAACCTGTCACTGCTGGAACCCCTAAATCCTAAATCATATCCTCCAGCACCAGATCCAGACACCTCTAAAACACCTCCAGAGATGGTGACTCCACCACCTCCCTGGGCAATATCCCAGGGCCTCAACACCACAACAGGGAAAACATTTCTCCTCACATCCAATCTGACTCTGCCCTGGCCCAGCTCAAGGCCACTCCCTCTAGTCCCATGAGGGATGACATTTTCAGGACCAGCACTGAGCCTTACTGACCCTCTTGCACGTGTCCTCAGCCACTGATCAGGTCTGTCCAGGTCTCTCTGTAGAGCTTTCCTACCCTCAGGCAGATCCACACTCCTACCCAGCTCAGTGTCTCTGCAAATTCCCTGAGGATCACTCAATCCCCAAGTCCAGATCACCAATAAAGATGCCAAACAGGACAGGCCCCAATGCTGAGCCCTGGGGAACATCACCAGTGACAGCCCCAACTGGATGGAGCTCCAAGTGGCCGAAGGAGAGGCCCCAAAGGCACTGGCTCAGCAAGGAAGGGGGTGCAGCCCTTGCTTTGACTTTCATGCCAGATGTGCCAGGTTAGATCCACACTCCCACCCAATTTAGTGTCTCTGCCAATTCCTTGAGGGAAAATCTCATTGCATTGAAAAGATTTTGGAGCTGACTGGTACAGTTTGATCAAAATTTATGGGTTTGTGGATCAGACAAAATTTAGCCCATAAAATAAGGGAGTGACTGACAATGATTTGCTGTGAAATAAATCAAACCAATCCAAAATTGCTGCCCCTGCTGAGAACAGTGAGTGGTGAGAGGGACAAAGCCCTGGGGACTCACCCAGCTCCAGGGGCCACATGCTCAGGGCTCTGCTCAAGCCTAGCAAGTCTCTGCACAAGGGTGAGTTGCTTTGTGTGAACAAGATCTCCTCCTCCCACTGCTTTTCATACATCTTTCAGGTGCATCCTGTCAGATATTCTCAGTGCTGAATGCTTGAGAGATGCTGATCAGCTGCACTTGGCCTGCTGCCCACAGGATACCAGGCTGAAGGCAAAGACAACCTCTGTCTGGAGGCCTTAGAGAAAGTTTCACAGTTGTTTAAAAACTCCTTTGTCTTCTGCCTTTGAAAGTAGAGCATTGCCAAGTGTGAAATGCATGTTGAGGATTGGGAATGAGCCAGAGAAGCAGAAATGCTAAACAAAAACCTTCCCTCAGCTGAAGGAATGGAGAGGTTGATCGGTGTGTGTTGAAGGATGAGGTTTGAGGCTTGTCAATCCAGTCAGGAATGTTGTGAGCACCCCAAAAAGCCAAGGAGCAGAGGGAGGACTCGGCATGGCTACAAAGCCCTTGCTATGGTCTGATATGTGCT